ATATATCCAACATATAAGATACTCATCAAAGTCAAACAAAGGTAAATAAATGACCTTATTAAGTTTTTAGTCAAAAGGTCAAAGAGATGTGGACATCTGCTAAATTTAATTGTTTAGTTAATATTCATCAAACTTCATGGATAGGTTAATTAAACAAACTTCATATATTTTGATTTTCAGGTCAAAGATCAGCACAATTTTTGCTAAACCATTGTTGTCCATGAATATCTTAACACCTCTATTGACTTTTCAGGTTAAAGGTCAATGTATTCCTGCTACAGTAAAACTTCATTATAAGGATCTCAGAGTGATATTCTTTATTTGTAAGAAATTAGGTATAAAATATCCCACTCTTTTCTATAATATGTCACTGAATATGCTCCTTTATTTTAGAGAGTTTTACAAGCAAATCATATACTGACTTTCAATCCTTCAAAACACAATATATATTGAATCTTGAGATTCAGACTTTCAGGCTTTCAGCCTTTTAGGTTTTCAATCTTAAAAACTTTCAGATTTTCAATCTTTAAAAACTATCAATCTTGAGGACTGAGTATTTTAATATTCATTTTGTCTGTCTTGTCTTTTATGTCATTATGATTAATCCTTAGTAATTCAAACTTTTCATGTTTGTAAAACCAGAGTGTGAAAGTATAGTGTTTGTGTAATCTTCTTAATCTTTATCTATAAATACTGATTTTAATACAGTCAAATATAATTTTCTGATGATCAAAATTTCCAACTGAATTTAAAGACAAACTACCTGACCTATACATATTTAGAATTTCAATATCATACACTCTTGAATATCCATAAATATCAAAATATAATGATTCAGCATTAGCTATCATCCATACACTTGTTAACCTAAGAAAGGCTCTTATCATAAGTTAAACGCATGAAATTCCTCATGCAATTTTGAAGAATTTCTGTTATAAAGGATGCTAAAGACAAAAGGCCCATAAATTTCCAAGTACATGTAGTAATAATTTTTAAAAACTATATATCCACATTAAATTGAGTAACATTTGAAGAACCTTTCTTCTTTATAACTCATGACATTTCATGCAGATAGTGGCTATAATGTGTAAATAATCTTAATGAAAAGAGGATGGTGTAAAGTTAGCCTCACCCCACACCCAAGGGAGAGGGGAGGAAAGGGGAAATTGGCATTGTTTGTTTCAATAGTTAAAAAAATAAATAAAAAAAAAAGGAAATGAAAAATTAATTTAATTCAATCTTATGATTTTTTTAAAAAAAAAAACAAATTTAATTCAATTTTATAATTTTTTTAAACTTTAAAATTCATGTTTCCTGGACAAAAGAAGGGTTCAACCCCCTTCCCTCTCTCTTGGGTGTGGGGTGAGGCTAACTTTACACCATCCTCTTTTCATTAAGATTATTTACACATTATAGCCACTATCTGCATGAAATAACATGAGTTATAAAGAAGAAAGGTTCTTCAAATGTTACTCAATTTAATGTGGATATATAGTTTTTAAAAATTATTACTACATGTACTTGGAAATTTATGGGCCTTTTGTCTTTAGCATCCTTTATAACAGAAATTCTTCAAAATTGCATGAGGAATTTCATGCGTTTAACTTATGATAAGAGCCTTCCTTAGGTTAACAAGTGTATGGATGATAGCTAATGCTGAATCATTATATTTTGATATTTATGGATATTCAAGAGTGTATGATATTGAAATTCTAAATATGTATAGGTCAGGTAGTTTGTCTTTAAATTCAGTTGGAAATTTTGATCATCAGAAAATTATATTTGACTGTATTAAAATCAGTATTTATAGATAAACATTAAGAAGATTACACAAACACTGTACTTTCACACTCTGGTTTTACAAACATGAAAAGTTTGAATTACTAAGGATTAATCATAATGACATAAAAGACAAGACAGACAAAATGAATATTAAAATACTCAGTCCTCAAGATTGATAGTTTTTAAAGATTGAAAATCTGAAAGTTTTTAAGATTGAAAACCTAAAAGGCTGAAAGCCTGAAAGTCTGAATCTCAAGATTCAATATATATTGTGTTTTGAAGGATTGAAAGTCAGTATATGATTTGCTTGTAAAACTCTCTAAAATAAAGGAGCATATTCAGTGACATATTATAGAAAAGAGTGGGATATTTTATACCTAATTTCTTACAAATAAAGAATATCACTCTGAGATCCTTATAATGAAGTTTTACTGTAGCAGGAATACATTGACCTTTAACCTGAAAAGTCAATAGAGGTGTTAAGATATTCATGGACAACAATGGTTTAGCAAAAATTGTGTTGATCTTTGACCTGAAAATCAAAATATATGAAGTTTGTTTAATTAACCTATCCATGAAGTTTGATGAATATTAACTAAACAATTAAATTTAGCAGATGTCCACATCTCTTTGACCTTTTGACTAAAAACTTAATAAGGTCATTTATTTACCTTTGTTTGACTTTGATGAGTATCTTATATGTTGGATATATTAGCAAGACACAATCTAATCTGAGTAAAGAGGAAACCTGGAAAAGCTTTTATCCCTTTGTATGAACAAATTAATTGATGTCATGCAGATATCTTAACCAAAATATCAGAACAATCTGATGACTCTTAAATAAAAAGTTCTCATTATACTAGTCAGAAACCATTAGTCTACTTGTCAAACACAAAAATATGAAAGTCAACTCAACAAAGTAAATAGGGTTCCTTTTCTTCAAAAAGTAAAATTTTGATGCATTGGGTGAATGTTTGTTACTTTATGCCTATAAAGAAAAATATATGCCCTCCACTTTGACTGTATGGATTACGAACTGTTTATATAATTGAATCAAACTTATTTCTTTCATGTCATTCTTAATGTCATAGTACCCATCATTCATAATATGTACAAGTCTCAATCCTAATAGATGAATCCACATTTTGTTCTTATTTCACATCACTTGACGCCCATACTTGAGGTAAACTCAAAATTCTCTGTCCATGTTAATTTCTGGTGTATACCTTCATCATTTGACATAACTCATTTGCTTTTTGTATTTTGATTGCCTAAATCAAAGCTAATCATACATAGAAAGAGGACAAAAAAAATGAATACAGTGAATTTATCGCAATAATACCTATATGTTTGATACATAAAGAGAAACATTTTTTTTCATTCCTTTTTGACCTTTGGATTGACCCTGAATAGAGATATCATTTACTTTTTGGCAAGTGTAAACTATATACTGCATGACTAAACATGGTTTGTATATTGAAATATGAAATGGTTTCTTTAATGCTTAAATCATAATACTCCTACTGTCCTAGTGAGAATTATGCTCAATCAACTTTGTGAGATATTCCCAACTTCCAATGCTTCTTATTTACATTTAAAAAAAATTGACTCAAATAAAATAGTTTGTTTTCTCATTTATTCTACAAGACTTAACATGCTGACAGTGAATCTAATCATTTTTTAAACTGGTTAAAGTAATGTTTACAATTGTCTTAAAATGCTCAAATGCAAGTTTATTTCATACATAAATACCTTAATTGTATAGACTAAATGTACTTATAGATTCAATATATAGATTAACCCCTTATAAATAGTAAAAAACACTTCTTAAACCTGATTTTCTTGCCTATTCTCTCATGCATTACCTAATTTGAGTATTCTCAAATTATTGATTACATGAACAAACAAATTTAAGACAAAACCACAATATATGCTGAATGCCCTGAAATGAAATGGTTACATATGTAAGATGTGTAACACATCATGTACAACTTTAAAGTCTCCAAAATTTTAAGCTAAGGTAATTCCACCCTCCTATGATGTCATAGGTTTTTGCAAAAACTGTAATTAGTTTAAATTCATACCTAATAGAACAATATCTCTTGGAAGAATGCTTTACAATAGGTGTAATGATAAATATTGTTAAGTTAAAGAATTTTAAAAAATGCATATTTTCTATATTTATTCAATTATTCAATCTTTAAAAAAAAATGTTGACAAGGGCAATAACTCCTTCTAAGAATTCTTCATTCAGGCATTTGCTTTATTGTAAAATAGTTTCCCTGATATTCACAATTCAAAAGTATCTTTCAAGTAGGAAGTATTTAGGAACACTCAGCATCAGAATTATGCATTTTAACCAGTTTTTACATATTTTCATAATACCATTTACAAAAAATGTGCGATTTTTTTATGTTGACATACACTTCTATTTATTTATGTTTTCTTAAATAATATGATGACCTATACATTTTTTGCAATAAATGGAAAATTTAAAGTATATTAAATGAAAATAAATGCAGTTTTTGTACTTTGAACCTATAAAATTGTGAGGGTGGAATCACCTTAACCATATTATACAATAAGACTACTTTTTCAAAGTTATGAGAAATTCTCCACAAAAAATGTATTTATGCAAAAGATAAATGTTAGGGTACAATTTCAAAATACATATTATATGAATCACATAAAGAACATATCAAATCATTTCTTTGTGGTTGTTTTCCATTGGAACATCTGTTAAGAAACATTCTGTTTTGTCTTTTTTTTTTTTTTTTTTTTTGATACATAAAAAGCGTCCAAAAATCATTTGGAATTGTTGTGTTAAACCCTGATAGTCAGAATTTTAAGAGTTTCTGATGTGTGCCCTACTTAGAAATGTTTACAATGTAACAAAGATGAAACTCATAATTGAATTAATCAGCAAATATAAAGTCATCAGGTTTACACATGCTTTTCTAACACATCATGTACAATTTTTTTTCTACTAGTATGTCTTTGTTCACAAAACATTGAAATCAACAGTACTTAGCATTCCATATTAAGAAATATGAACCCTAGCTATTAAAAATCTAAAAGTATATTTGTGCATCAATGCAATATGTTTAATAAAACAATCTCTTTCACTGTGATGAAAATTGTCTTCTTCATATAACATACAGATGAAGAACTTCTTTGGATGATGTAATTTCACGTGTAGAAAAGAAACTAATTCAACTAAAAGTAAAAGACAGTCATTAAAATTTTAAGGACATATAAGGATGATATCAAGACCGAAGTCCAGGAATTGATAAAATGCTACAATTATCATCCAAAGATGTATATGTTTGGATTTATTTTTTAATTCACAAGCAAATGATATGCTGCCATTTAATCTTTCAAACTTAAAATAAAAAATCTATACTTTTGAATTAAAAATTTCAAAATCTAGAGGAGTCTTCCAAATACCTATCTACATGTATTTATGACTGAAGGTATGTAAATCACCAGAGTTGCTGTAATGCACCATTTGAATAAAAGTCATATCCACATTCTTGACTTTTTTCCCTAAACCTTATTTCAAAACATAAATTATTCCAACCAGTCTTTATCTACGCAGCGATAAATTTTTTTTTTTTTTACAGAATTCTAAGGTATTACATAGTAATAGTCTTTAAACATCCTTGAACATAGTGCATATGATTTACATTTCAATTCTTTCCAAAGAATATGCTATGCCACCCAATAGAGCTGATGTAAAGTCTCTAGGTTATCACAAAATGTTAAAGTTACAACAACTAAATTTTACCCAGGAGAAAAATGATCCAAAAATCTCCGAATCTTTCTTTAGTTATGATGTGAATTTTGCAGGTTACAAATTATTGTCAAAGGTAGTTATCTCAACAATCTCATGCTTTGACCCTGACAAAGTGTCCAATAAAACTAACTGTATTACTCTAACCTGTTCTTTGTAGTAAGCATGAAGTCTAATGGTTGATAGAAATATTCAAGATATTATTACATCACAGATCAGGGGACACTTAAATCTTTATGGGGGTCCTATTGAGACCTATTAAATTCAAAATAGGACACACACATACACAAACAAAATGTATTTACAGTTCCAGGAAAGTAATAATTACACCAAAGCTAGCATTTAGGGGTTGTAGAAATAAGATGAAAAATAAAAGGTTTAAATGTATACTTCTCATACATAACAACTGTCTTCAATAGGAATTGGTAAAAATAAAAGTCACATTTAGATACTTTGAAGTCTGGGAATTATTTTTTTTTTTTGAAGATCTCATACTATCAGAAAATCACAATTATATCAATTCTAGGATTTGATTAGACCTCAGTTTGTTAAATGACTGCAATTTATCTATTGTTGTGTTTGACAGAATATGAAAGATATGAAGGGGAGAGCTTTTGAACTTTTTTTTTTCCCTTCATCATAGTTTAAAATATATATTATACCTGTCTTTATCTAAGTAGTGAATATAGGATTTTTACAGAAACCCTAGGTATTACATAGTAATAGTCATATAAACACCCTTGAACATTGTACATTTGATTAACATTTCAATCCTTTCCTAAGAATTTGCACCTAATTTTTATAAAGTCTATAAGTTATCACACAATGTTTAAGTTATTGCATTACAGGACTCAAATCAGCCTAATCTCAGTAAGTAACTAACTTTTACCCAGGAGTAAATGATCCAAAAAATCTATATAGAAATATCTTATTGATTCTTCATCTGTGTACTTATGATGTGAAGTTTGTAAGTTACAAATTATTGTCAAAGGTAGTTATCTCAATAACCTTATGCTTTGACCTTGACAAAGTGTCCTAAACAACAAAGTGTATTCCTACAATCATTCTATATGTAATTAGTATGATGAATATGGTATGATAAAGATATTCAATATATTATTAAACCACAGATTATGGGACACTTGCATCTTTATTGGGGGTCTTATTGAGACCAATTTTAAATTTAAAATTAAACATGATACATACACAAACAAAATATATTTACCATTCCAGGAAAGTTAAATAATAATATTAAATCCAGCATCTGAATATCTGTGTAATTTCTAGGGGGGTATAGAAATAAGATGAAAAATAAAAGGTTTAAATGTATACTTCTCATACATAACAACAGTCTTCAATAGGAATTGGTAAAAATAAAAGTCACATTCAGATACTTTGAGGTCTGTGAGAATTAATTTTTAAAGCGTTCATGCTATCAGAAAATCATATTTTCAATACAATTGTACTTGATTTGACTAGATCTCAGTTTAATAAATGATTACCCTTTATCCATAGTCAGTGTCTGACAGTGAAAGATACAATCCTGAGTCCTTTCTTTGTCATCCTGTAAACCACAGTCTATGATAATACTGATTAAATTAGTTGGAAATCATATTTATCTATGTGCTTCTTAAATCCTCCATCCATCTCCTGTTTGATTTTCTTGTTTCAGTGTTCCAAGAGAGGATATTCTGTTAGTCTTTGCATAATCTGATAGTCTTTCACCATTCTGAGAGTAGACATAGATCATTTCCATAAGCCCTCACTAGAGAATCCTGAAAAATAAAAAAAAAACGCTTAGTTGAAAAAAAAAATTGTTATATAATATAAGCTTGATGGAATTATAAATATAGACAAAAAGGGTATAAATACAAGGTGTTACATCAGATTTTGACTTTTCATATTAACCATGGGTAACACCTCTAGTAAAGAAAAGAGTAAAGGAATGAGTAAAATTCAGTTTGGAGAGAGAATTCTTTCAGAGAAAGATGTAGACAGAGGTATACCAGTTAAAATAAAAAAAGATGGCACTATTGAGATCATTTCTCAAGAAGAATATAACCAATTATGTCCAGAAAAGGGTGATCCTAATGTTGTCAGAGATTACATAGAAAGACCATTGATTACAGAGGAAGCTAATGAGGAATATAACCATTTATTACCAAAAGAGGGAAAGAATTACTTGGATTACCCTGAAAGACCTTTGACTAAAGAAGAAGTCAAGTTTATAGATGATAAGAGAAAACAGTTGTCAGAAAAAAAAGATTGTTAAAGACACAGGATTTTTAGACCACAAAACCATTGAAGATGCAAGGATTACAAGATACAAGGATTAATGGAGGAAGTCCAAACTGAACTCTTGGAAGACATTAAGGCTCATTATGAGAGTAACTTTCCAGTGTTTGTTTATTACAAAATTATGTATTCTGATTAAAAAAAAAAAGTTTTCACTTTCATTTGTTGTGCCTTTGACCATTTAAATTGACCTTATGGTCAAGATTGTGATATACTGTATACACTCTGATAATCATCTATGATGTCTCTATGATGATTACCTCATAAGATTGAATCAGGGTATATTTGTGTTCAAAGAGCTGAAGAAACTTAATACAGACAGATCTATGATTTTGGAAGCATACATATTAATGAGTTTAAAGGAGATATAACACTTGAATTCATTACTACATTATTAAAAAGAAAGAACACAAACTCATAGAAATGATATTGAAAGTACCTTTTATGAACAAAGTGTCATGCTCCAAGGTATTATTTTTATAAACAGGAGAAGGTTTACAGTAGTTCCATACACTCATAAGAAGATCTTGGGTAGTAGAAACACAAGGGAATTTTATTTCCACACAATCAGATCATCTTACATCAGTTATAAGGTTAAAATCTTTATACATAGTCAAGAGGGTCATTAAGATTTCTTTTCTGATCATCCTAATGAGCCGCATTATAGTATTCTTTCCCTGTGATATAATGTTAATATTAAATGGAACATTCAGAATTCATAAGCAATTGGTGTTAAAACTTGCTATCTTTAACAACTATGCTATTAAGGAAGCTGGGGGTTAACAAATTAGCCATATTTAATTTATTCTATAGATATGCTATCTTCAGCTGTTAACTATTATTTGGCAAAAAAAAAATATATTCATTTTAGTTTCAAAATTTAATCATGCATTTTTGTATATATTTATATGGAACTCTTCTTCTTCTAAAGGAGATCAATATAGTCAAAACATGACCATGACCACCAAGCCCTCTTTATTTAAAAAATCATATATCATTTACTTATCAATTCAAAAATATAAACATGCATATGTAAAATAAATAAATAAAAATTACAATTGTATCTCATTGAAAATCTTTACCTTCAAGTTTGTGTGTTTCTATGTTGGTTGACTAACTGTGTATATCCAAAGGAACAGCAGACAGTCTGAACTTCATAGAGAATTGATTATAGATGGTTAGGAACAAACCATATCTTCCATGTTGATGACTGTAGAAATAAAACCATTTTGTTAATATGACAGAGTACTGCATGAAACAATGCATGTTTAAATACAACATGTACAATGTCAAAAAAGATCATGAAAATATTTGTTTTTAATCTCAAAAATTGTTTTTAACATTAACTCCAGATGAAAAAAGTTCATCATGTTATCTTAAGATAATAAAAAAAAGCACAATTACTGTATTAATATCACAAATAAAATGATTATCAAATTAATTATTTAGACACTAAAAGACTTTTTATTAACAGCAGATTCAATTTTGGTTTAATAACTGTCAGTACTGCATACAGAAAAATATATTTTTTTTAGCATCATCACAGTACAACATGTAGTCCTTCATTTTTTGAAAAGCTCATTACCAAGAAACAAAAGTGAAAAGGAAATTATATGCATGCCATATATCACACATATTTAGAATCAAAACAAAAGTAAATGACTTAGAATTAATCTTTTGTAAATTCCTTCTTTTCTCTTATTAGATTCCTAATTAATATCTCTTTGATCACCATTTAGTAAGTCTGAATTCCATGGGTAACATACATAATGAATTATGAAATTATATCATGATTTATACAAAAGGACTTATTAATATTCTGAAGATCCCTTAATCATGTGTTAATATATTTTAGGTTAAATAAGGGTGTGCTTATATAAATGTAAGTTAGAGACAACAGATCACATAAGTATTGCACAGTAATTAAATTAACCATATAATCATGCTTAAATGCAAAGATGACCATCATAGGAAATGTAAACTTTTAAAACAAGACAAACGTACCAGAGATATCCAACTATATGCCCAATAAGCCTACTCATTAAATAATCCAGTGAAATAACATCTCAGCGGATCCTGAAAAAATCATACAATTCAGTGATACACAATTAACCTCATTTTACAATGTAAGTACAAACAATAATTTACAGACAAAAGGGACAAAAATGTAAAAGATACCATGTATTTTACCAAAATTTAGTGAACATTTTTCTGATTGAAATTCAATCATAGAATGACCCATCATAGAAATATTAAATGTACTCTGAGTTACATGCAGGTTATACAACTGTAAATCACATGAAATGAGGATAAATACAGCATTCACATTCAAAATAGAACTTGACATATAAATCATTGTTAAATGCAAAGATGAACTTCACAGGAAATGTAAACAATTAAAAAAAAACAAGACAAACTTACCAGAGATATCCAACTATATGCCCAATAAGCCTATCCATTAAATAATCCAGTGAAATAACATCTCAGCTGATCCTGAAAAAATCATACAATTCAGTGATACACATTTAACCTCATTTTACAATGTAAGTAAAGCAATAATTTACAGACAAAAGGGACAGAAATGTAAAAGATACCATGTATTTTTACCAAAATTTAGTGAATATTTTTCTGATTGAAATTCAATCATAGAATGACCCATCATACAAATATTAAATGTACTCTGAGTTACATGCAGGTTATACAACTGTAAATCACATGAAATGATGATAAATACAGCATTTACATTCAAAATAGAACTTGACATATAAATCATTGTTAAATGCAAAGATGAACTTCACAGGAAATGTAAACAATTACAAAAAACAAGACAAACTTACCAGAGATATCCAACTATATGCCCAACAAGCCTATCCATTAAATAATCCAGTGAAATAACATCTCAGCTGATCCTGAAAAATTCATACAATTCAGTGATACACATTTAACCTCATTTTACAATGTAAGTAAAGCAATAATTTACAGACAAAGGGGACAGAAATGTAAAAAATACCATGTATTTTACCAAAATTAAGTGAATATTTTTCTGATTGAAATTCAATCATAGAATGACCCATCATACAAATATTAAATGTACTCTGAGTTACATGCAGGTTATACAACTGTAAATCACATGAAATGAGGATAAATACAGCATTCACATTCAAAATAGAACTTTACATAATTATGATTAAATGCAAAGATATGACCTTCATAGTAAATGTTAACAAAAATAAGACAAACTTACCTGTGAAATAGGTCTGGCAGAAAAGATATTTCAAAAATTAACCCGCTCTCAACATTCACATGATAAGAATGCATCAGGATGTTTACTTCCGTGGTCATAGAGAAATTGAGCTTTATTCAAGAAAAGCTTCACAGTAGGAAAATCATCATAGAAAAAAGAGAGTAAAAACAAAAGATAGTCCTACATTTTCTGAAAATGTAAGTTCACTTCTTAGAAACAAAAGTGAAAATGAAACTTTAATTTTACAAGTGTATGACGTCACAATGCATAGGTAAGCATATTTTTTGCACAGGACCCTAAACAAACTTGAATCGTTGCCAAAATCGTAGTAGCAGAGTTGTGAATGGTAGTAGCAGCGTATAGTGTATAATGTAAACACAGTGTAAACACCCCGTATAGGACATATAGGGGCTATGTACTAACCCACCTAGCCCCCCTAGGGTTAGGGTTAGGGTTGTACTGAGTTGACCCAGCTATCCCCCACCAGGGGCTGCACTCCGTTGAACCCCCTATCCCCTCCAGGGGCTGCACTCAGTTGAACCCCCTATCCCCCCCAGGAGCTGCACTCCGTTGAACCCCTATCTCACCCCAGCCCCAAAAGTGCACTCACTTGACCCGCCTATCCCCCCCAGCCCCAAAAGTGCACTCAGTTGACCACCCCATCCAGGCGTCTTATACTACTTCCGCCAAATATCGTACACGCTAAATATAATCCATTTACAGTAATTAAAAGCTGTCTTTCAAAGATAAAAAAAATATGGTTTTTTCTGTTTGTTTGTTTGTTTGTTTTTATTCATTTTTTTTTTTTTTGAATATTGAAAAAAAGAAATATTCAAAACACTAAAAGCTTAATGTTTCCAGTTACTGTAAACCAACTTTTATTCGCTTGCGAGAAGTTCACGAGAACCTTGTCATCGCGAATATTCCTCGCGGTCCCTAAAGTCTGCTTGTTAACAGACCCAAAATCGGCTTGATCGCGAAAATTGACCGTCCCTGAATTTTTTTTTTTTGACAAACCGAAAAAGGAAAATATATTCTAAACTCGAAAATTCCATTCTCAGGGAGGGGAATGTATTTACGAAAGGGTGTGTGTATGTTTATTTCTATCTTTTAGATATTTTTGCATATTAAGATAGTTTCACTGCATATACAAGTACTGTACCAAAAAGTGTGTGCTTGTGAGAGGGTGGGATCAACTGGCTTTTTAATTAACGTATTGTACCCTAATTTTAATAAGCCAAATTAGAGTTTGAGTTCTGATTCTAAGTCTGTATATAACCCTTGCTTATTGAAATGGATTGAACCAAGTAATTGAAATTGGTATAAATCTGAGAAAGCTGAGTAGATCAGGAACCTGCATCATGTTTCCAGCTAAGTCAAATATACATCACTCTTTATTTATTTCAAATTCGGTATACATTTGTACATTAGGGCACATCCTTTTCTCTTTTTTTCGAAGGGGGGGGGTGTTAAACAGGCATATAGAAAACAATTTGTAAAACTGAAAAAATCTTGAAAGTCAAATATTTAATAATAAAAATCGTATAAAGAATAATTAAATAAAGATGTAAGAGAGAAAATGAAAACACATTTTTGATGCGAGTTCCGATTGCAAAGAGACTGACTGAAACATAATGTAATCCAAGTGTTCCTTATTTCCTATTTATAAATGTCGCAGAAATATTTTGTTTATTGATAACATTAATATCAAATGCTATTGCATTATTCATTCAAACGTAAAATAATTAATGTGATTTATAAATTCTACACCTTGAGATGCTCCCCCTTATTTAAAGTCCGAAGTCTGAAGTCCACTGTACGCTATTCCGCAAATGTCCATTATAACGCCTCAATTATATAAATCATCATTTCAAATTTTATTCAGATTACATAAAGATGATATTACGATAAAGGCTACAATTGAAAAGAACAAAAGAAGACTGAATCACTGTCATTGACGCTGAATTTTGAATGTTTGAAATTGAATTTACACTGTGACAACAAAATATTCCTTATTGAATTCATATAAATAAAATGTACATTATATTGATTTAGAATTATTAACTTTTTCTATTGTGGCTCTAATGGCTCTAAAGTCTTAAACATGTCAGTATTGGACTTGACTGCTGGTTTGGTAGCTGGAGATGGTGACTTTCTTTCGATGTAGTTAGAGCAGCTTTGGTGTTAACGTCTTTTATCTTCTCCTTCCCCGTTGTTGCTGATAAAGAAAGAATGGTTGATTTTGAATTACTTTCTGTAATAACCGATTTTGTTGTCTTTTATTTAGTAGATGTTCTGTCTATTTTCAAATACTTTGATGACTGAAGAATTTATGTTGTACAATTACGTCAGTAAGACTGAGTGCAACACGAATGTTTATTTAATATGCCTAACATGTATAAGTACGAGTTAATTTTATGTGTTAATGACGTCATGCTGTCTTGGTAAGCTTTTACCCCCTGTAAAATGCTTGTAATCCACTGTGTAAGCAGTTAAAAGTCTTTACACATTGTTTATACTTGAGATTATGTTATTGCTCACCTATACATCTAATGTCAGCTATGCTAATTAATGCAGTTCTGTATTTTTTGAGATTATGTTTTGTCATGTGTTAAAAGTATGGTGTGCTTTGCATTTCAGTTTATGTTGAAAAAAGTTTTATTCTTCTTATTATTACACCTACATTACAATTCAATTATGTATTGTGAGACAAACCTTTAACAAAGGACCACTCAAAGAATTTCTGCTTAACATCACAGATCATGCTTTCGTTCTCCTTCTTAGTCTGTCCATCCTCTACACATTGACCATCGATAAAACAATAACCAACCTAAACCAATTCACGAATAAAAAAATAAATTTCTAACATTACGATATAGAAGAAATAAATTCGCTAACAACAGCCGTTTTGGTATTGAAGTTGTTTTGATTGAAATTCATATTGAAATTTTAACAAAATTACAAAAAATGTGAATCACGTACAGTAAGGTAAAATTATCTGCCTACATAGTAACTTACTTGAATTATATAGGACGAAAGCACATTAAAACTAGCAGCCATCATTTCTTTTGAAGATTACTTGATCGAAAATTCGTTTTACTAATCACTTTATATCATAAATTCATAAAAAATACAGTTTTATGAAAAAAAAACACAGGTATTGATCTTCGAAGTAGTTATCCTATAAATATTTTGTACAACTCATTCGTATGAATCTTAACATGGTAAAGATATAGTAATGAAAGAGTCACTTGCTGATAATGTAAAGGTGGCCATCTTAGAGTTATTGCGTAGAATCTGACACTTGGAATCATAAACGAAAACCGACAAAGTCCTGGTGAATTTCTGACCATCATTGGAAACATTGAAAATGAATTGATGTATCCAAGATGATGTGTTGATGTTGGGATTTGGGCAGCTTGCCTCATACAGTGTGTGAACTTCAAGGGGTTTCTTGTACGTCATCCTGCTTTCGATTATACCAAGATCGGAAATCTAACAAGAAAAGAGTTTTTCAAAGGAAAACTGTCTGTTTCTATATTTTTTCCCTAACAAAAATATCAATGAAACTCTTATATCATGTAAATGGTAAATATGCAAGAATTCTAAATTAACTAATAATTCAATTTCAACATTTCTGTTTTTCTGTTACATGTCACTGATATGTAAATCTACTTACATCATTAACTTTGATGTAGCATGTAGAATTGGTATTTTCCACAAAATATTTTCCAAAGAACGTGATGGAGCTACAGACTTCTGTAGACTTGTCGCACAATTCACCGACCAACACCTCCGTTATGTTGGGAGGTATCGTCTTATCAAAGGAACAATCGCTACCGCCGAACCCGTTATCACAGAAACAGCTTCCTGTAAAAATGATTGCACTTTATTTTATTCTCATTTATATAATTTATTCAACATCGTAGTAAGAGTTGCATTGCCTTAAAACGTCACACTAAAAAAAAAACGTATCCATAGTTGTTAGCCTTTTTTGAAGAATTTAAGGATCATGACGTTTAAACTATATATGCAGTTTGGTGACAAAATTTTAATAACTGGACAAAATATGAGGAAAGTTCACTAAAAAGTATCAAAAAGAAAAATGCTAAATTATTTGACTACTATTTGAAGTTCTGCACGCTATACTTATTTGTATTTTCAAAAAATGTAAAAGAAGAATAAAATGAATCAATTATTGATGTTGATCCACAATATATTTTTAAAAAATAATTTTGTATGTAATAACAACCATTTTTGCATGTTCCGTGATTGCTGCAGTTATTCTGACATATGCTAGTTATTTCTCTTGCTACTTCTGGTTTCGCCTGTTGAAGCGTTTCGTTGAGGTTGATGAAAGCTTTACATTGGTCGATGGCGCTTTCTATGTGGAATATTACTAAGGAAGGATCTCCTGTTAACTAGAAAAAATATATGGAAAATTCATACACAAAAAGCAGGAAAAAGATGTGTCGATGAGATCATATAAGGAAATTTCACAGAAAAAAGTAGTAATAAGATGTGTCAGTGAGATCATTTGAATTTTTATCATGATTTAGAAATATACATGTCACAATGTTAATGTACATACGCAATCGATTTTGTAGTATGCTTGATAAATCATAGGATTCAACGACTTTCAGTGTTGTTTGACTGAAATCAAACCTGGGAGTGATTATGTGACCATCCAATTCAATGACAAAAATCATAATAAGAATTCAAATGATCTCACCGACACATCCAAGATACAATCCTTCACGGAGTCACTCGAAAAATCTGCGACATTATCTTGACAGGTTTTGTATGCAAAGGACGCTTCGAATGCCGCTCTGCATGTAGTTGTTGCGTTCTCAGTTATATCATAAGCTTGTCGTTTAACTCTCTGCAATAGTACAAAAAACTTGAACAAATAGGAGATAAGTCGTGTTAATAAATGATATTGATTTGCTTTATTGAACAGACTTACGATTGAAAGAGTAAGTTCAATGGGATCCGGAGAGAAAGATTGCATGTATATTGCATGACGCTTGCGTCTGCTGATGCTACTGTGAAGAATACATTCATACTCCTTTCCCCGCGTGATATCGCTACAGTCTGTGAATTGTTGATAGCTGCACTCAGTTACACCCTTGTTACACGAACAGAATTTTACCTTTGTCAACGATAAAGACTTCAATGTCCCGAAATTCATGGAAGGAGCAAACAGATCCTCTGTTGAACTAGCTCTAGTAAATTATTGATAGAGAGATTCATATGTCAGATCCACAAAGTATAGATATCAGATATTCCGCCTTAACAGTCTACTCCGGCACCTATTTGTTTCACTGTTAAGTCCAAATTTCATTTTTAATTACAATTTTTCACCAATTAACAATGTGCAAGCTGACACTTTGAAATAGTCAATCCTAATACAAAAAATAGAAAATACAAATAAAAGTGCCGGTCAAATTATAAAGATTTTATTTCATGTTTGAGAGTTTTCCGATAACATTGTGAACAAGTTTTCTAGAATAAAAAAATCAACATTGATTTCTAAAATTTACACTTCTTTTTTATATAATTTTCATTAATATACATAGTAAAATAGTTAAATACAGATATGCCAATGTAAACAAAATTTTATGTTAACCGCTTCAGATATTAGAGAGGTCGACTTTCGAAAAATTAACCAATTGCTTTGAATAGATGTTGACAAACTAGCAAGTGAATTAAAAATGTATTTTTATTTTATCCCAGACATTTCTGTTTATAATTAATTTTATTTTTCTTAACCATATGCTCTGATGAACTTTTGTCTGTGTGCTATAGGACCATACTCTGTGTATATCTTATCAAAATATATATAAATATAGATACATATGATAAACAAAGATTTGCTGAAGTAATCAGCTTATTTTATCTTGCATTATATTTCAATCAATATTTTACCAGACAAGGTACCAAATCTATATGGCTAATGTATACCTCCATGATATAGAGAATGCATCCGGAGGAGAACGGTAGTTGAAACTGTTTGGATCGTCAACTATTCCAGATCGTCTTGTCAAATCATTCTTAATATTCCCATCCAAGAGACCACATAGTCCGCCCGATTTCCCTACGTCAGCAACAGACGGATACACCTGTGTCTGTATAAACCAGTCTCTGGCCATATTGAGAGTCGTGGCGACATATGTTCCCGTTGGAAAGAATATCTAATTTAGAATGTATATATATATATATATATATATATATATATATATATATAATTATAAAAGAAAAAGAAAATGAAGTTTCCAAAATTCATTTAACACAAGCGCTTTCTGGATCTCATAATCCGTCTTCAGGTGTACATAAATTGAACTGATTGTTTTGCTTAGTAACGTTAATATGACGTCATGACGTCATGAGAGTCTTTGCAGGGAAGGAAGTAATCTATGACGTCATAGTATGGCTACGTTACGTAAAAGTTAGGGAAAATCAAATTGGACAATAATGGACAATAAATCACATATTTTTCAGTCTCAATAAACAAAGTAAACAGAAATTCTAATTGATCATATATAAAATTAGGTAATTTCTCAATGTTAATGTTTGTTCAGTTTTGGTGAAAAAAGATTTATGAAGTAGTTTTCTTTTGCTAATCTCATTGCAGTGGAATCGTTCCTAAGTTTATAAAAGGGGAACACACAGTAGTTTCCTTGTGAGCAAATATCGAAATGTTCACTGCATGGCGTGTTTCTGAGGCTCGGATTGTTAATTTGTTGGCGATGTACGCGCATGCGGGCGGTTAATTGGGTCCCGGTCTGGCCGATGTATTCCCCTCCGCAGTTGTTACATGTACTGGCGACCATTACAGGCATCAAACATAAACACGTCTCTCCCAGAGCGAACAGCTACTGCGCAGATGCATCTAGCATTTGGATTAAAGCATTTGTGGTGCCTCCTTGTACCTTATAATTAAACATAATTCTGGATTTAATATTATTAAATACATATACGAGGATCGTACAATATGCTACACGGTTGAGTTTAAATTGTGAAAAAATACCTGTTGATTATGTTCTTTGTTCTCAAAGAGAATGCTGGTTATTCCAGTGGCACAACCGGTATGTTGGCATTCATAGGCACTGTGGATCAATAAATAAATTTTAAGAATTTTATTCGGCCTCGTCTGTGTATTCAAAACGATGAAATTATTATACCACTGCGAACTATCCTCCACTAAATCACATATTTAGTATCTCGGTATGTTTTCTTTTTTAAAATCCGCATTCAATATTGAAAAGTAATAGATTTTGCCTTTAAAATTTATGTATTATTTTAAGATCTCCATCCTCTGATGTAAGATTGTAATAGTAAACACACAAGTCCGAGAGATTTAAAGGTTGTTTTTCTTTTATTTTTATTTCAGACTACAAGACTTACTATCCATCAAACGTTCTCATGTGGGGGTCTGCGACAGACTGACATCGCTTTCCTTTCCAGACAGTCAGCGTCTCTACAACGTTTATCTGTAAAAAAATATTTTCTTGCAATTGATAAAAAAAGAAATAAAAATAAAAATAAACCGAAAGATGTCATTTTATGTAAATTATATCTAATATCACAATTAACATCAGGTAAAGAAATTAAATAATATCTCTAAAGTTACAAGTTTATATCATAATTTGTATAGTTTCATTTGATATGAGGGAGAAACTAAAAGTTTATCTTTTTTGTATTTGTAACCCGATTAAAATCAGGTAGAGTAAAAGTAACATTAGTAAAGATATCATTTAATGTCTAAGATTATATTTAGATCAAGGAAAACATAATCTTATGTTAATTATATCCGGTAGATGTACATCAATAAGGATGTCAGTTACTGTTAGTGTACTTACATTAAAATCAGATTGATTTACATCTATGTAGAAGTAACTCTTTGTTTATTTCTACTTACATTTATGACAATAGATTACCACTTAGAATGTCAAAGTTGATAATTTAACTTACATTTATATCAGGTAGAGTGACGTCATTAAAAATGTCAGCAGCATTTCTCCCCCCTTTACTTGTTGTCATTCTTAAGACGATCTGTTTGACGTTGTTGTTGTAAGCAATATTGTCTGTATTGTGAACCTCCATTTCATATGTTTTATACCAGGAATTATCAGCAAACTTTTGTCTTTGGTCGTAAGTTATTCCTTCTATTGTTATTTTACAGAGATTTGAACTGCCCGCCGCACATTTTGCTGCTATTTGAGTAGGAAAGGATATGGTTACATCTAAACTCCCTGCAAAATACTTCCTGAGACGTTTACTGTAGAAGGTTTCCGTGGCGAATGGAATGGTTGGTCGGATTTTCACTGTGGCTGATCCCTTTCTTTCCAATGTTAGCATAGGCGTCAAAACCTAGAAGCAAAGTTATTTTATTCCCTCATTGTACATTGTATTTATCATAGACATATAAAGGAGCGATTAAAAAAGAATACTCGTCGTTTTTTTAAATTAATTGAAACAATTGTAATTGAAGCTAGGCAACAATCAAGGAATGTTTGTTTATGTTATGAAAAAACTAGATATGAAGGGTAAGAGTATTTTTTTCTAATATTGCAAGGAATTCACAAAAGTACAATCCCGTCAGATTTCTGTTGTAAATTACTATAAAATCACCATTGTTTGTGGGGAACCAATGTTCGTGAATTTTGTTTATCATCCTTACCCACGAAGAACGAGTTACGGTTTCAATACAAATCTGGCGCAGTATTTTTTTTTCTTTAATAATGTTAGAAACTGTTATTCATCCTTTCTAAATTATTACAATTCTTTGCAGTAAAACATGCCAATGGTTTTTCAAATATGACCTCCTAAATGCTAATTGTAACTTCAAGAACTTGTGTATTATCCGTATTTTCTTTTAAAATTGCAGAGGGCATCAATTTTTCAGTGAAATTTTCTTTCAGAAAACATTCAGTGCATGCATCGCCCACAAAGATTTTTAAAAATGCAAATCTTCAAAGCATTTTACAAACTAGGCGACGGTGGCAGACACTATTTTCTAAAGGAAAATGGGCACAGAGATGATTCATTTTAAGACTTTTCTACATATAACTTTAAAAATGCACCAAATTAAGGACGTGATATTTCCAGAATGGTCCTCATTTGAGTCAATTTCTTAATGAAATAGATGTAGATAACGAAATGTATTGAAGATGTTAAATTCATAATACAAAATACTAGTAGGAGCAGAGCAAACACGGACCTCCAAAACTTCAGAGGTGGGATCAGGTGCCATTGGGGAGTGCGTATCCCCTGCCGACCAGTCACACCCGCTATGTGCTCTTTGTCATGATAGACAATAACGGAAAAACCCGTTGTCAATTCAGTGTATGAATATTGGACTAAAAAAAGTATGAAATGATTTATCAAATTCATCTACTCACCTCATCTTAAAGCATATTTCAAAACTTTTTAAGACACATTTTAGGGCTCAATAAAGACCCAACTGTACCTTCTTCACTCACTGTATCCCATGAATGATTATCTTTTCTACGTATTATTTCCATGTATTAACTCTATGAATGAGTAACTCAACGCACCAGTAAAATTTTGCTTGCCCACAGACATTGACACTACGGAATAAAATGATTTGACAGTAAATAATTTACCTGGATGCCAGCAAAGAAAAGAGAACTGGAGGTGGTAGTACATGGCTTGTCTTTTTCTGTCCATTTGGCTCCTACAATGCACTGAATCTGCAAATTACAGAAGTACCCTGTTCATCGTAAATATAAAATGTATTTTTTTTTTTACAATAATAAGAATGTATTGTGCATGATTTGATTTTATTACGATTTTAAAATCTTAATTTCATGTTCTCGTATTCTCTGAGCACAACGTATCTTTTTAATACAACTTTTAATTGATATCCATCAGATATTTTATTTATGCAGCATTTATACTTTTGCTTATGATAAATCTTAGATTTACCGAGGCTCCAATTTTGATATTGAGGTCACTCAGAAGCTGAGTGGACAATGTGGCCTTATTCAGCGAAGACGATGTGACAGTCTGGCCAGATATAATGGTTCTGGTGTTAACAATCCAGTCTATATCATAGAACAATGTCTGGTCATCCAGCGGCGTAAAATCACATCTGAGGTTAACTACAGGGTTGTATTGTATGACATTAGTGTCCTCCCGTTCTGTGTACTCCACGTTGTGATAAATAACCCGTGGATTTTTGGGCACCTCATTAATACCTTTTGTCAATAAAGAACCTTCATTTATATTCATGGATTTTCATATATCAGGGTAAAGGCGTCATAATACATAGAAAAATAATTTTCATATGAGTGAACATTGATTAACAGAAATATATATTATTTAGTGGGTTGACATCTCGTCTCTTTACTTACAGTTTGTCTTTTTCTCTGGAAAGAAAAATAACTGATTTCTTTAACATTTAGATTTCTCTGGTTTTGACCGGGAAAGGAATTTTATGTAAAATGAATTCATTCACATATGCATAATAGCAAAATAAAAATTATTTTATATTAATACGAACCATGTTTTAAAACCCTCTTTTAAAAGCAAATTTCGTTTTTAACATTTTAAACAGATTGTACCAGGGTATTATATGCAAAAATATCAGAAATTCATAATAAAATTTAGAAAAATCTTTTTCTCATTAACCCTTCAATTTGCTTTGAATAAGATAACAAATAGCTTACCAAAGCAGTAGGCTGCGTTACACAGAGATAGAGGTATGAGATAGTAAACATAAAACGATCCACAGCTGGTCACTTTGACATTGATGGTCTGTTGGCAGTCTGCTGCGAATCCCACCTCGCAGGCTTCCATATCTTTACTTGTCCCACCTCTGTCTGGGAGCTCACCTAAGGAGGCGATTTTATACAAATTTAACGAAATTAAGCTTCTAAGATTATAACATTTTCAGGGTTCAAACGTTTGAATAATTGGCTAAACATTCATTATATTTTGCGCGCTCGTGCAATACGTTAAATGACATAGTCTTGATACCATTGTAACTTTTATCATTCTTTTACGAAATACTTCAATACTGTGCAAACATGTATATAAAGGACTTTTTTAGAGATAAGGTACAAAAAGGGGAGTTTGAGAGCGTAATGCAAAATCTGCAATGTTCCCTGTTACCATTAAAACTAGTTTTGACTGCCCTCACTAGGAGAAGGATAGAGGCATTTTAATTATTATGAGACAAATAGTTGTGGAAAATATTACTTTACGTTCGGATTACAGAGTACTTTTTCTTATCCTTGAGATACAAATAAACGAGGATAACATTCAATTATGAATTAATAACACACTTGATGATGTTCCATTTCTCTATATAGAAGATTACATATTCACTTTAGCAGAATAGAAATAATTCTTGCGTTGTAGCAAATATTTGGAAATAGAACCCTCAGTCTTGAGATTTTCTTGTTCTAAAACGTAGAATTTCGGTCTCGTTTTTTTTTTGCCAACAAAATCTCTCGACTATCGGGGTATATTTTTTAACAATTCTTCCGTTATTAATTTTTCTTAAAAATATGTAACAGCTACTGAATATATTTTTGAAACTTTTATTTTCCTTTATAATACAATTTCTAGGTAACATTCAGGTTAATCGAGAGAGTGTGTTTTTCATTTTAATTATAAACTTGGAATTTCATCATAACTTACACATTCAATCTTAATAAACCAGAACCTGATATAGCTTACCCTTTAACCAAAACGGGTACAGAGTTCCACAAAACCCTATACTAGGTGGGGATGCTACAATCTCATATTCAGGTGCACTGTACCATCCTTCCTCGAGATATCTGTCGCAAATTGGGGCAGCGTCCTGTGCAAAATCGGGACTTCGTTTAGGTAAATCCGTAAGAATTTTGTAGTTTCCTCTTAAACATGGGTCAAGGGATAGTACACCTTTAAAAGTGCAAAAAGATATCAAAATTTGAGAGAAGCTATTTTATTTTCAATAGTTAAAACGTTGTGTTCCATGTCAAATATTAATACAAATACTTAAAATTTTAGCCATTTGTAACGGAATTTTCAGAACATTGTAAAGATGAGGCATTTCATAAAGTTATAATGTTTAATTAATTCACAGTTACCAAGGGTCCAAGTGATAAATACTGCATTGTTAACCAAAGTTTAGCTGTATCAATTTTTCTGAATTTCATATAGTCTAAAAGCCACTAAGTGGCTCTTGCTCTTGAATGTAAGATCTACGCAGCACTGTTAAGGCTTACTATGAGAATTCCAATGGAAAATAGACGTTGAAAAAAGGGGGGGGGTTAAATTGAATTTATTTTAATAAAGCTGTTTAATTATCACAGAACTTTAATACTTCTGGAAATAGCATTGTATAACCCACTGTGTACTGTATGAAGATTAGTCCCATCGATGGACAGTCACGTGATGAATGCATAGTTCATGTACTGAAAGTAGGTCATTAACAAATTTCAATATCGCAAGGGCATACCCTAATTGAAATTAAAAATTTAAGCTATTAATTGTTTGTGTATACTTTGTAGTTTCTAAAAAGTGCTGCTGCTTTGAATAGAATTCGCGTTTTAATAGTTAATTTTTTTAGTAAATAGGCCAATGTCGAAATATGTTTGACTTTTACCAAATATTTTGTGTACTTATAAAATCACAGCCTCGATTTAAAGAAAGCAACAGCACTTTTCAAGTAAAGGAAAATGTCCTTTGTCTATATTCAAAAACTGGTTCAGATCTATGCAGTGTATGCCCTTGCGAAAGTACGATTTTGTGAGGCATCTCGATGTAAAATATACGTAACCTGTACATAATAACACGATATAATTAATAAAATACATTCTCTTGGTAGTTGATTAATAATCGCACTAAACAAAGGCTATACATTCGTATTAATCGACTATTTAAAACCTGTAAGTAATATTCCGTTTAATAATAAAACGCATTTTTCATTGATAAAAAAATTCCTCAATCTGCCTCTCACAGCACATGAAGTACGTCATTTTAACCAATATGACGTCATGTTTAAAAGTTCATCTCGATGAGTGCTTCGTTTTTAATCAGCTACATTGGATTTAACTAGCAACTTTTTTAAATGCATTGATAAGTTATATTGTTGTTTATTATGCTTACACAGTTAAAAGTTGCAAATTATTTCATTTTCAGTTATTATATGAGAAACACATAAAAGTCATATTTTTGTGTGACGTCACAGTAAACTTTTACCTATAAATTAGGCCCCGCCCCCTTATTCAAGCCTTAACAATGCTGCGTATGACGTAGTCAATAAAATCACGTGACAATGTACTGTTATAATCCTGAGGCATAAATCTTACTTATGATATTAATAAGCAGTATATACGACGTGATGGTTAGGGGCAGCACAATGTTGGTAGCCATTGGATGATCTACAAAAGAAATATAACGTGTAAATGCTACATTAAGAAAAGTCAGACAATATTTTACTGTCAAATCTGTAAAACTAATAGACGAAGCTTCAAGGTCATGGTTGATAAAGAGGGAAAACGAAGTAACTTTTTGTAAATTAGGAATTACGTATTGTCATGATCATGTCATGTGCCATTCATACAAAATGTAACTTGAAATTTGAATAAGATTTATGATCAACTCTTTAAAAATTTAATTAAAAGAGTAAAGTTGTTAAGCATTCAAAAGGTGGTATTTATTGTATATGGTATTAAGACGCCATATATATTGGAAATCTTTTATTATGAAAATACAAAAAGTAATAATCAAGTCGTACAACAAATGATTCATATATGACATACTCCTTTTTCTAGATTAAATTTTACCTTTAAAAATATAAATTTAACTTAATGCATAACGCTTACAATTGTACGGAGACATGTTTAAACTGACTAGACTTTAACTGGCTAGATAATCAAATGACAATTGAATATGTAAAGATTACAAAATTAATGAATGAAATCGCAATAATTTTTTTTAACAAGTCTATTGAAAAAGTGTTTCCCCCATTGGATCCTCCTTGGAATGAATAAACACAATTTGAACACATTTACAGATAACAGAATTTCACAGATTCACATTTACTTTAGCCTCACACAGAAAACACACGCAATCCTTAAATCTTTTTGGCTGCTTTATTACTCTGTCTGATCTTGTTGTGAAAGGGTTATCGCACGGACTGCTGTTAAGTGAACACTTTTGCTGATCTGGAACATCATCTGTAGACTGAGTGGTAGGTGTGTCTTCCTGTACATAAGGTTCGACTGCTTCTTCAACATGAATTTTTGCTTTTGTCGGACGAATATATTTTCGGTTTCTGCAGAATTTACGTCCACTGTTGTCTTGTAGGATGTACGATCTTGGTGATGCATGATGGTCTGTGACAGTTGCTGGACACCATTTGCTGTTAATTCTCATCAGGACATTTTCATGTGAGTTGAGGTCTCTGAGAGCATGGTGTTTTTGTGACATACTTGTCAAAGTTCATTTTCTGCTGCCATTTTCTGGTTTTTAGTCTCATGTTGATTTCCTGAGTCATTTTGGGTAATGTAGAAGTGGTTCCGCTGTTGGTATATCTGTTTTTAACATTCGGCCAAGAAACAATTGTGCGGGTGATAATCCTAAGTCCTCAAGCGCAGTGTTCCTGTAGGCTAGGCTAGCATTGCCTAGTAAGGGTCCTTAGCCTTTTTTAGAAGATTTTTGACATTTTGGACGGTGCGTTCTGCTTGTCCGTTGCTTTGTGCAAAGTGCGGGCTGCTGGTCTTGTGAAGAAATACATAGCTTCTTGCTAAGTTGACAAATTCTTTACTTGAAAACTGTGGTCCATTATCCGATATCAATTGGTCTGGAATACCATATTTCGAGAATTGGCTCTTCAGGTGAGTTATAGTGTTGATGCTGGATAAATTTTCAAGTCTGGCTTATTCAGGCCATTTTGAGTAAAGGTCGATTGTGACAAGATAATGTCCCCCTCTGTACTCGAACAAATCTGTAGATACTATGGACCATGGTCTTCAAGGTGTATCTGTGATAATCAGTGATTCCTTCGGATTCTGCTTACTGTTCAAAGCACAGATACTACATCTTGAAACTTCCTCTTCTATCTGTGATGTAATTCCAGGCCAGAAGAGTGATTCTCGCGCTCTCGATTTACACTTTACTATTCCTAAGTGTGATGAATGAAGAGTCTTCACCATCTGGTTTCTCATCGCTGATGGAACTATGACTTTGTGATTTTTGTACAGAATGACATCTATACATGAAATTTCTTTTCTAAAGTTCCAGTATTTGTGAATTCTCTGTTCTCTGTGGCACTTCTTCTTTGTTATCTGGCAATCCATTTTGGACAGTTGTTTTCAGGGTTTGTAGTTCTAGGTCTTTTGTTGTTAGCTTTTTGAACTGTATGTTTTCCTGAGGTGTTACTGCAAGATATGCTAACTGGTTGACTGAAATATCGAGCTCTAAGTCTTCTTTCGTTTCCGGTAAGAACGCTCTGCTGAGTGTATCAGCTAGGAACATAGTTTTTCCTGGTTTGAACAGAACATTCAAGTCATATTTTTGAAGTGAGAGCAGTAGTCGCTGTAGACTAGCTAGAGTCTGGTGTAGAGATTTCTTGAAGATTGACTGTAGCGGCTTGTGATCTGTCTCTACTGTGACACTTCTTCCAAAAATATATTGATGGAATTTCTCGCACCCAAATGAGATAGCTAGTGTCTCTTTCTCTGCGCATAGTTCTGTTGACTTTTGGTAAGGGCTCTGGAAGCGTATAAGATGGGTTGTCCTTCCTGAACAATTGCTACCCCCCAGTCCTTTAGAGCTTGCGTCAACTGTGAGAGCCAAAGGTTTTTTCGAATATAAATACCTCAACACTGGTGCTTGACAAACCATTTGTTTCAGTTTCAAGAAACTATTCTGCTGTTCTTCGTCCCAATGCCAACATGTGGTCTTTTCTAAACGCTGACGAAGTGGAGCGCTGACTTCAGACATGTTGGGAAGAAACTTCGAGATATACTGAATGAAGCCTAGGAAAGTCTGTAGTTCCTAAGTACAAGTTGGTCTGTTTATTTCTGTGACAGCTCTAATTTTCTCTTTGTCCGGCCTCACTCCTGCTGAAGCCTGATTGTGTCCCACATATGTAACTGTGTCCTTTCGGAACTCACATTTTTCTACATTTAGCTTTAGACTGTAGTGTCTTATTTTGTCCATGATAATTGCAAGTCTCCGGTCATGCTCCTTGAGGTCTCTGCCCCACACTAGAATGTCATCAATAATAGCTTCACAGCCGTCGATTCCTTGTAACAGTTCTGAAATCTGTCGCTGATAAACTTCAGATGATGACTTAATGCCGAATGGTAGTCGAGTAGAGCTAAACCTCCCAAATGGGGTATTAAATGTACACAACTTGCTACTGGCTGAATCTAGGCGAATCTGCCAAAATCCTGAAGTAGGGTCAAGTTTTGTAAGCACTCTGGCTCCCTCTATCTCTGTGAGAACATCCACTATAGTCTTTAACGGAAAATGTTCCCTGTGAATTGCTTTATTTAAGTCTCTGGGATCAATACAAATCCTGACTTTGCCATTAGCTTTTGTCACTGTCACCATAGAGTTTACCCATGGAGTTGGTTCCTGTTGTTTGATGACAACACCTTCACGCTCCATGCGGTCAAATTCCTGTTTCACGTTTTCCTTAAGAGCAAGTGGTACTTTTCTTGGTGAATGTATGATGGGCTGAACATTAGGATCTATCCTGATTGAATGTTCCCCTTGCAGGCATCCAAGACCTTTGAACACATCCCCGTATTTCTTCTGCATGTCCTTTGGAATGTTTTTAAACGCTGCACTTCCTATGTCTAACGTCTCCTGTTTCACTCTGTTGACCGACATCCGCTGAATAAGATTTAGCGTTTAACATGCCTTTGCACCAACTATCGGTTTTGCGTTTATGTCAACAACCAAAAACTCAATGTTCTGAACTCTCATTCACTTGGCACTCGAGTGTTATTACACCTTTTGGTACAATTCCGTGTCCTGAATAAGATTTCAGAGTGTTTCTTGTACTTCTGAGTTTATGGTGTACGTCAATTTTGTTCAGTGTGCTGTGCGGCATAACATTACGCATTGCACCTGTGTCGAGCTGGAATTTCACTGGTTTACCATTTACGATGATAGTCTGTGTCCACTCTAGATCTTCGTGGTCTACAGAATTCACTTGTGATTCTTTCTGAATGCTCCCAACATGGTATTCCTCTCCTTCGTCACTTGAATACAACATGTACAGTCTTCTTAGTTCTACACAATTTTTTGAAATGATTTGGCTTTTTGCACAGTCTACATGTTTTTCCTTTGGCTGGACATGAGTCTTTTCCATGCATGTATCCACAGCGTGTACACATTTTCTGATCATCATGTTTTGTTTCACTGTAGTTTTGTCTCTTTCCAGTGTCATAACTCTGAGAGTGTTTTGGTGACTTCTTATAAGATTTCTTTATCAAGTTTACCTTGGAATCCTCTCCAGAATTGTGTGCAATTGACTTTGCTTGTGAAGTTGACATTTCATGCAGACGAGCGATTTCCTGTGCCTTCTCTAGCGTAAGGTCACTACATACATTGATCAGTTTTTCACGTATTTTTGTGTTGTTGATGCCAATCACGAGTCTGTCTCTGTCGGGGTCATATTGTTGGGTTCCTGGTAGTTACACTCTTTCACTAACTGTTTCAAATCAGTTACAAATTGGTCAAGAGTTTTTCCTTCTGTCTGAGTTCTGCTATGGAACTTGTATATGTTGTAAATATTGTTGGTTCTGGGCTTGACATAAGCTTCGAATTTATAAAAGTCTACCTTTAGTGTCTTTCGTTCCTCTTCGTTTAGATTCTATGTGGAATATATGTCACGTCCTTTCTGGCCAACCCAGATCATCAGATATGCGCACTCTTCATCCTCAGTTTTCTTTTTCAGGGGTCCCGAGAATGTGAAGTTCACGTGCTGTAAAAACGATTTCCACTGGCCTTCTAAATCATCACTGGTCCAGTCCATGGCTGGTGTTGACCCTGACAACAAATCCATCACTCCTTTTTGCTGTTTTACGGACAGGATAATTGTCGATGGTATTTATTTGTGAGACTGTTATCAGATTACATCTGACACCATATTGTATATGGTACTAAGACGCCATATATATTGGAACTCTTTTATTATGAAGATACAAAAAGTAATAATCAAGTCGTACAACAAATGATTCATATATGACAGTATTTTATTCATGATGAAAAGTATATCTGATTTTTTTAAGGTACATGTAAGGCAATTTGCCAAAATTGTAATCCAAGGTTGATTCAAATAAGAATAAGATAAATTACATCATCAGTGCGTTCTGCTCCCTGATGATGAAGCAGGTAAGTACATTGTCTTCGTTTGT